CTTAACATTTCCCTGTATGGTATGTCCTCCATTTCCCCCATTTGGGAAATTTCCTCATCCAGATTTTTTCGTTGAATTCCAAGCTCTAGGCCTATGTCATAATCCGGTGCATGTTTTCCAGGATCAAAACAACCCCATTTACTTGAAAGTGTTGATCCTTCTTCTCTATCCATTTCTTCCTCATGTTCTTTTGCTGTGCAATAAAATCTGTACACAAATCCTCTGCATCTACATTTAAAAGCACCTTTTCTATATCATTCAAAGCCTTTCCCCTTTGCTGATACTCAGAAAGCTTCTGTTGAATTTGAATTTCACAAGCCCTGTATCTTGCTTCAAAAGACTCGTATTTACTGATCAAATCTCTTTCTTCATTTCTCCATGGAGTAAATAACATTAGAAGTTCACGATAATGTTTCTCGCTGTCTGTTTCAACATCAAAATTTACCCATCTTAAAACCATGGGTTTTTTTCTTTTGACAATTTCTGTACCATTTCTGAACATGTAACTCTGAGCAAATTCACATGAATCTATTGTGACAGATATTGCATCATCAGAAATCTCTTCATCTGGCTCATTTTCAGGCAATTCTTCTGAAGTGTTCTGTTTGATTTTCTCTTTGTGATACTTTACATGAAACCAAGAGACAGAATCAGCAAGACAGATTCCTTCAAGAGCTTTTGGGCGTTGTTGATACAGTTTTGTGATATTGCCAGCTTCAATATCTGTACTGCCCTCTTTCAGCTCTTCTAAAACATGTCTAGGTTTCAATAACACAACGCGTTCATCTATCGGAGCAGTACTAATAAAAGTCACAGACCTTGATGTATGGCGCAATGGCATTTGAAGTACTAGATATACTGCTTCTTGAGCACCTATCTCAACGTGAGAAAGAAACTTGTTTCCTATACGCCTCACTTGTTGGCGAATATCAGAGTCATTCTGTCTTGCTTCTTCACAGGCATGTCGCAGCAGGTTGGACATTCCTCTCTGACCTTTAGAAATGTAGGACACTATGTAAGTAGCACACGCATATGCATCTAAAATGAACTTAATGTCCATATTTGCTTGCCAGCTCTGAAGAAGAACAGTATTGTAAGCATTAATTCTCACTTCATTGGGTTTTCGCTTCAAAAAAACTTTTTCTTGTTTCAAAGTTGATCTGACTGCCCTGATGTAGCACTCTTCATTCATTTGCAATTCTAATAAAAAGTCTTGAAAAGTCATTTCAATTTCAGACTCTCTAAACTTTGATGAATTAAGGTAAGCTACAATTTTCTGGTAAGACATTGCAGCTGTTGAGAAATGTTCATCATCATCATCTAGTGGTGTCAATACAACAGTTTGAGACATTGGGGGTATGGGGAACTGAAATCTACATATTGGTTTATTCTTTTCCATACAAGTCCTTGCATGACGATGTGTCTGGTAATTTATCAGGAAGTCATCTGCCCCATGCTTTTCACAAGTTGCGTACTTGTCAATGAATTGAGCTACTTCTTTGTACGAGTGGGTTTGAACAGATGGAGCATCTTTAATCCACAGAAGCATATGCACATGAGGAGAGCCTCTCTGCTGGAACTCAATCCTGTAGAAGAAGTCTTCAATAAAGCCTACAGGGTTTGTTTTGTGACTCAATACTTCTGCAAAGAATTTGTTGAATCTGAAGTCAAAATATCTTGCACATGTTACTGGGTCAGACTTTATGAGTTTACTTTTGTGTTCCCAGCTCATTTCTTTGATTTCCTCTTCTGTGTAGGTCACATTATCAATAAGCTCTCCTAGTGTTTTAAGTAAGGGTGTCCATTTTGTTTCCGCTGCAGAAAATGAACAGAACCAAGTGGGTAAACCCAGCTGCCTGATCATAGCGAAAATGTCCTTTTTTGCTTTTTCCCAGTAAGGAGGTGATCCGCGCAGATTTCGAAGAACATGAAAGCCTTCATTCAAACGAACAATAGAATCTGCTGTCTGTGAGTCAAGTATTTGTGCGACAGTGTATTTTTTACCCTGTAGTTTGCACTTTCGAATAGCCAACATGACCTTGTCCTGGATTTGCTTGATTTGAATTCTTTTCAACTTGTAAAATAGATTTGGTATACACTGTGCACATTTCCTATCTACATTTCGTAACTCCCATTTGCAAATAGTACTGTAATGCAGAGGAACTGTTCTTGATTTGTTGTCTGGTCGTGCTTCACCACAATAGATGGTTGGAAATGATACGAATTCTGCATTTTTATCTTGAAATATACTAAGGGGGCTAAAGTTTTCATCAGGGGCAACACTCAAAACCTGATTAAATTCACGGAAGTCAATACTTTGCATTAGAGTGTCCGTATTGCCTGTCGGCCTATCATCCACACTACCTTCTTCTGTCCAAGTGTCTGTGATGGTTTTTTCCCCTGAATTTGTGTTCAGTGTTGCATTTAAATCATTTTCGCCATCTGAATCAGTATCTTGGCAATCCCAGGATTCATTCAATTCTATACCTTCTGCTTTGAATAAAGTACTATTTTGTATCAACCATTGTGTAGCTGCAAGGACTTTCTTTGGGCGTATTCTTTCAAAAGCCATAGAATGCTTAAAACTCAAACTTCGCTTGAATTTCAAAGGTATAGTCTCATTTTCACTCAAAGGACGAGGCAATTTTTTAACGGTTGCGGTTACGTCAGCAGGAACATTTACAACATTTCCTGTAATACTCATTTGGCCACCCCGAGGCTTTTCCCTCAACTGCATAAATGGAATTCTTGGTGCAATGAGCCTTTCTTCAAGAGGAGTAATGTCCAACTCTGGTGGTTTGGCAGGAAATTTTAAACCATTCATAAAAGAACATGGTGGAATTTTCTCTGCTTTCAAATATGTATGACAGGTGTTACATATAATATCTTGCTTTTCGATGCCATGCTGATGCAAGAAATATTCATTTATACCTGTTGCTTTCCTGACCGAATGTTTAAACCAAATCTGAGAACAACTTTTACACACAAAAGATGGACCTGTATTAACAGATGAGTGAAATTTCCTTATCACTGCATCATGTTTGTGAGATGAATTGATACTGTTCTGAGATTGAGACATTTCTGTACAACATGTTTGACACACACTTAATGGTTCAATATTGTTCATTGTTAAACAACATCTATCCTCTGCTTGTCTGTGGATATATCTTTGTAAAAGTGGCATCATTTCTACTTTAGCAATTGAAACTGTATACAATTCATATGCGCCTTCCTCGCACCCAGAGAGCTTTCTCAAAAGAGCTTGTAAATTTGAAAAACCATTCACTGTCAACACTACAGAGTTACCATCAGCATCAACATTTCCATTAGCATCACGTGCATGTGGGTCAAAAACCTGGAAACAACTTCCTGAGGAGAATACAGCAACAGAACTGCCTCTGCATATAAATATACCTCCATCTTTGGTATTTGAAAAGCACAAATTCAATGCAGTAGCAAGTGAGAGAAAGGGACCATTATCTTTAAAAGTGACTTGTAGTTCCCCTGAATAAACTGGTGAAACAGTTACATGAAGTAATTCATTTTGAATGCAAACATTTTTTGGTATGTCCTCTGGGTTAAGATATTCATGTGGACATGTTTTTCTTGCATGTTTGTACAAAATGTCACCTTTCTCGAGTACAATTTGAACATTATTTGCATCCCAATTTTCCAATTTTTCTTCATTAATTGCATTATAAGCAATGCAAACAAGAGAATTAGCAGTACATTGTTTACCTCTGCTATAGTCTGAGAAGAAATCTGATCCCTGATGAAAAGTAGCAGATACACATTTCAATATTACAGGATATTTTCTTGCATTGTGTCTCTGTCTTTTTTGTACAGATTTCAACCTATCTGTTTGATAACTATCAGAATCTTGTAATTTTCTTTTCTTGCTACCCTTCATGTCTCATGAAAACAGTATTACAGCATTCCAAAAAAGTGTTCGTTATATAATGTATTAAATACTTACATTTCCCCTCTAATCTTATTTCAAATTAAAATTCTTATCTCTGATTCCTAAATCAATTTTGAGACCATCATAATGGCAATTCTTTGCAATTTTCTGATCATTACAAAGTTCCCCTTTCATGACAATATATTCTTTTGAATTAAAAGAAAATATGTTTTCATTCAATTACTGAAGTAAGTTTAGATAAGACTACAAAATAAATATTTTGCTGAAAAAAACAAGCAGGAAAAAAGTTCAATGTTCCACGTCAAGGATAAACCATTCTGAGAATATTTCCACACTTGAAATATATCTACTCTTGAATGTCAACTCTTGAGATAGTTCTTGTGCCAAAGCAATAAAATCGTGATATCAAAAAATATTTCCAAATATCAATTGAGTTCCACTCTTGATTTATAGTAACATATTAAGAAATACCTGTTCATAAATTTCTGAAAAAATATATCAACTCTTGAATGTCAACTCTTGAGATAGTTCAAATATATCAAAGCAATGGAATCTTATTAATAATATTCCAAATATCATCAGAGTTCTACTCTTGAGTTATAGGAACAGAGTAACAAATAAACAAATGCATAATTTCCTTTAAATATATACTCTGGAATGCACACGCTTGAGATTATTCATGTGTCAAAGCAATGAAATCTTATTCATATCCAAAAATATTTTTTCCCAAATATTAATGAATCGAGTTCCAGTCTTGAAATCCTCGCTCAGATGTCAATATTCTCGAGTTAATTTACGTTTGGCTTTAAAACAATGGATTCTTGATTTGCAAATTGCACAAAAAGTACGTTTTCCTCTTGAATATGCTAGATTTAATTGAACATTTACAAATACATTACATATTATTTTCTTGCTGCATGTTTACATAAATATTTTAATCTGTCAATATGGCGCTCAACCCCTTCGATGGGTTTGTTGTTTACATACACTTACTTTATTTTTACATTAATCACTGCACTAAAAAGTAATACTTGAGAACGAATGTGTAAAATGAACGCATTAGATCGTGAATAATTACCTTGAAGTGATTTGTTGAAGGATTATATCAGCTGTTTCAGGCACAATGTTCTGCGACAATCTTCTCCGTGTTGACAAACAAGATAGCGTGGCGCGTATGAATACAGAGAAATAGTGCGCTCTTCAGTGTCAAAATTATAAATACACAGATACTGTTCCTTGAGAAATATCATTTTTCCCATACTAGTCATGTCATTATATGTCATGCAAAATTGCTTAAAGATATACCTGTTTTAAGCGCGATTAATAGAAGAAAAAATTGAACTATTTTTTGATAAGTAGTAAATCGCCTAATTAGCATAATTTTCAGACAGCGAAGGCAGAGCCTTCCCATAATTCCCCTCGATGATGATTTCCACCCACGTCTGGTCCCCTGGCTCGCCTTTGAAGTAATTAACTTGCGAATGAATACAACACCGGTGACTTTCTTCTTAAAGACCATTTCTGTTCTTTTAAAGATATTGGGGTGAAATTTTGATGAATAAGAAATAGTTGTAAAATTCTTTACGAACCCAAACAACAGTCTGTAATTCCTTTAAAGTTATGAACTATGTTTTATATCGAAAGGTTAAGAGTTAAGATTTTATAAACGCTCTATAAACTTCCTTATTTCACTGTGTACAGATATGAATCTTACATCATTTTCAAAGCGAATCGCGATAGCTTTTACGATGTTTTAGCATATCAGGAGAAACATTTCTTACACTGAAAAGCAAAATGATTTTGTAAATGATAGTGATTAGAGGTGTCCGCCATTACTCTAGACACTGACTTACCGAGGGTGACTTACGTCACCTCGAAAAATGGTAGGTAGTATATTTTGTACAAATATGCATCTGATCGTTGATAATAACAAGCTGGGGAGATATTACTTTTCTAGGCTTAAACCTTCTGAAAGCATAATGTTCATATTTCTCCGAAATTTTTGGTTCAATCTATATTTGTGGGTAACGAACCCGATGATATATTGTGAATCTTAAAATTTCGTTCGTCTTTTAACATAAACATACGCACACACATAAGAATAGTAATTAGTATATCTTTGTACAAATATTCATCTTATCATTGATAACAAGCTGGCGAGATATTAATTATTTATGCTTAAAACTTTAGAAAACATATACCTCCGAGATTTTTTTTGCTCAGTCTGTATTTGTGGGTAACGAAACCGATGATATTGCGAAGTAAATATTTTCCCACAAATAAATTATACAATAGTTAGAATTTTCAAAATTGTACTGAAAAATTGCTTACCACAAAGTATGTCCAGAGGTTTGCTTGGGTGAATTCGCACGGCGCTTGGATCGCCTATTATGGTCACCTTCTGGAGGTGACACGCCGTCACGTAAACGTCTCTCAGCTAGCTCATCCGAACGAACTTCTATTTCTCTGCAGGGGAGAGTGCATCTCCTTATTGGTATGGAACACGTTAAACATACGGCGGAGAGGCAGATAAAACCTATGCACATAACTTTGGCCATGTTTGATTTCATCATCTTGGGTTCACAATCTCCAAATTAGTGCCATGAGGGTTGACCAATAAAAATCACTGTTTTATCACCCCTTTACCATAAATGAGCCCTTTTTCACTTTATCTCATCTGGGGTTCAATCTCCTAATTTGTGGCGTGAGGTTTGACCAATAACAATCAAGGTTTTATCATCGTGATGCTGAGGACTAAGTTTGGTAATAATAATAAAGCGGTGGATCAAGGTGTTTTTTAGCTCTTCTGAGCCAAAGGCTCAAAGAGCTAATGCTATGGCCATTTGTGCGGTGTGCGGTTTGCGATTACTTTTTAGAATATGGGCCATAACTCAAGAACCCTTTGGCCAATCAGTACCAAATTTGCCACAGGGTATCCTTGGCCCAAGGGCTACCATTTATACTAAAATAAGGGTTGGGACCCTAAAACAAGGAGAGATAATCAGGAAAACAAAACTAATAGTACTAGTTGCTAAAAAATCTTCTTCTCCAGAACCGCCAGGCAGATTTTCACCAAACTTACATACAGGGATCAGGATATGTTGAAGATTAAAAATTGTTCAAGGCATGACCCTGGGGCAAAGGGCGTGACCTCAAGGTCACTTTGAAGTTGACCTTAATTTACAATTAATAAAAAAGTATATATTTTGCTTACTATAAGGGCTAGGATCATCAAATCTTGTAAGTTGATGCATCTATGGACTTCACATCATGTTAACTCAAAAGTAGGTCACGGTGACCTACTTTTTTTAATTTTGCGGGCATTTGTTTTCAAATTGATTTGAAGGCATATTTTGGACACTTTAAGGCCTATGATCATGAAACTTAGTCAGTTGATGCATCTTTGGTCCTTGTACAACGTCAACCTAAAAGTAGGTCAACGTGACCTACTTTTTGAACTTTATGACTTCACCTTTTTAAAACATTTAATCCCATTATTTCAGTCACTGAAAGGGTTAGAATCATCAAATCTTGTAAGTTGCTGCATTTTGGGACCTTTAAACATATTTTTAAAAAAGTAGGTCACTGTGACATACTTTTAGAATTTAGCAGGCATATGTTTTCAAATTGTTTAAAAGGCATTTTTTGATTACCTTCAGACCTACAATCATCAAACTTGGTCAGGAGATGCATCTTGGGACTCTGAAAAATGTTGACCAAAATGTAGGTCACGGTGACCTACTTTCGACATTTTATGGCTATATTTAAGTATTTTAGGTAATTATTGGCTTAGAATCATCAAACTTTGTGAGTTGATGCATCTTGGGTTTTTGGAGAGTGACGACCAAAAATTAGGTCACAGTGACCTACTTTTGACATTTTATGGCTATATTTAATTATCTCCGGTACTTATTGGCTTAGAATCATCAAACTTTGTCAGTTATTGCCTCTTGGGTTTTCGGAGAGTGACGACAAAAAATTAGGTCACAGTGACCTACTTTCGACATTTTATGGCTATATTTAAATATCTTGGGTATTTATTGGCTTAGAATTATCAAACTTTGTGAGTTGATGCATCTTGGGTTTTAGGAGAGTGACAACCAAAAATTAGGTCATGGTGACCTACTTTTGACATTTATGGCTATATTTAAGTATTTCCTATAGAAATTGGCTTAGAATCATCAAACTTTGTGAGTTGATGCATCTTGGGTTTTTGGAGAGTGACGACCAAAAATTAGGTCACAGTGACCTACTTTTGACATTTTATGGCTATATTTAATTATCTCCGGTACTTATTGGCTTAGAATCATCAAACTTTGTCAGTTATTGCCTCTTGGGTTTTCGGAGAGTGACGACAAAAAATTAGGTCACAGTGACCTACTTTCGACATTTTATGGCTATATTTAAATATCTTGGGTATTTATTGGCTTAGAATTATCAAACTTTGTGAGTTGATGCATCTTGGGTTTTAGGAGAGTGACAACCAAAAATTAGGTCATGGTGACCTACTTTTGACATTTATGACTATATTTAAGTATTTCCTATAGAAATTGGCTTAGAATCATCAAACTTTCTGAGTTGATGCATCTTGGGTTTTCGGAGAGTGACAAAAAATTAGGTCACAGTGACCTACTTTCGACATTTTATGGCTATATTTAAGTATCTTAGGTATTTATTGGCTTAGAATCATCAAACTTAGTCAGCAGATGCATCTTTGGACTCTGAAAAATGTCGACTGAAATGTAGGTTATGTTGACCTACTTTCGACATTTTATGGCTATATTTAAGTATCTCTGGTCTACAACGACTGGTCAAAGAACCCACACGGGGCCCAAACACACTTGATCTCATTGTCACAAACTACCCAAACTGTTTCAGAAGGATAGAGGTCGTCCCAGGAATTTCAGATCATGACATAGTGTATGCCGAATTAGATTTAATTCTATCTAGTAATAAACAAAAGCCAAGACATATACCACTCTACAAAACCGCAAAGTGGGAAAACATCAGAGAGGATGTCACCAAAATATCTGAAAAAATAATTAAAATAATGAATAGAACTGGAAAAACTACAGAATCTATGTATACTTACTTCCAAAGTCAACTGGAAGAGTCAATCAAGCAAAACATACCACACATAATAACACGTAGTAGAGATGGATGCCCATGGTTAACAAAAGAACTTCGAAGCCTAGTCAAGAAGAGAGATCGATAATACAAAGTAGAAGTAGAAGTCCATTTCACCAAGAAAGTTTCACGAGTTAGATTACGTACGAGTTGCCTTTAACCAGATGTATGCAGCTAATCAGATCGTACTAAATTTATTCGAATAACTAGTTGAACTTCACCTTCGTGGGATAATGGTTCCTACAAGCGAGGCAAATGTTCTTATTGTAACAATCGGTTATTTGTTATCTTTTAAACTGTAAATAAATTAAATATAAAATAATTCAATAAACAAACTTACTGCCATAAATAAATAAGAATTAAACAAACTCCATTGACAACTACATTTACTGAACTTACTTCACACTTATTTTAGATATAGTCATTGCAGCTCAGAGGACCGGGCTGCTCTATACATATTAGTCCGAAAAATCTGACGTTTTTCTGGCTTTTTTACGATTTTGATATTTTATATGCCAGGAAAACGTCAGAACCGGCGCCATTACGAAAACTGGGAAATCGCCGCCTCCAACCGGAGGCGGCATTCAGAGGTTGATTTTCGATACTTGTAAACCGAATTAAATGCTGAATTCACATTTTATCAATAGTACTACGCCTTTAGTACTCACCAACATCGTTTTTATGTACTGTTTATGAAATAATATAATCCGATGAACACATTTTATCTGACTGTTGAGATTTGTTTTCATTTCGTGCATTTTAAAATCGTGCAAGTTCTGAATCGGAATGTTGAGTGGTAATTTCTATTCATCGATATTGGTGAGTTCTAGGAGTATTGTGCCATTGATAAATTGTGATTTCGGCATCTAATTCGGTTCCCAAGTATAGAAAATCAACTTCGAGTGGAGACGGTGAAATTCCCGGTTTTCGTAATGGCGCCGGTTCTGACGTTTTCCTGGCATGTAAAATATCAAAATCGTAAAAAAGCCAGAAATACGTCAGATTTTTCGGACTATATACATATAAGTTA